TCTCAAGTTAGCAAATGCCAACCGAGCCTTCTGTATGCGAGCTGACGCTTCATCCGTGATGCGTCCACCGGGTGAGATGTAGTTGCCTAAATAAAACTTATCCACTTGATCTATTACTTCCTCAGTTAGAATGAGAGTGGGTGCTGGACCAACCCGTTCTTGAAGCAACATCTTACACTTTGAAGGTGCAAAACGCATACCGAACCTGGCTACACTGGCATTCAACCTCTCCAAAAAGCTTGCAACTTACCTGCATCTTCACTTAGTAGCACAATGTCGTCCGCATACTCTAGCCCACACAGTCTGCCATCTGGAACTAAATCGATGCCACTTTCCTCGCACGACGATAGGGCTGTTTCCATAATCAAATCTATAACAAAGTTGAATAGAAAAGGAGAGAGAGGGTAACCCTGTAGAACACCACTTTCCGTGGTGAACTCAGTCGAAAAAGTGCCGTAAGCCCGAACTCGACTTCGGATATTAGTATAAAGCGATCGTGATATTGAAATAAACTTCAAGGGCACACGCTTCAGGGAAAGGCAGCGCCAGAGTTTAGAGCGGCCGACTGAGTCGAAAGCCGCTTTCAGGTCCAGGAAGATAGAAAAGCTAGTTATATTTGGCTCACCGACTCGATTACGGTCAGGAAGCTCGGTTCTGCCCGCTAGCCTCGAGAGAACATTTACAAATGCAGTGAATAGAACTATCGCAGTAAAGGATGTAAAGCCAAGAGGTGATTGAGCATTTGGAGATACTGAACTCCGTTGACAGAATTACCCAACCATACACAGTGTTATGGGATAATAATAGCGTAGCGGATTTTCGCATGGTAAACGAACCTCTCATACATCATAGCATAAAGCACCTTATTTGTTCAGATAGTCTACAATCTACTACCCAAATAGTAGCCAAGGGCTGAGTGCGAAGCCTCAATGGGGGAATTCGAGTAATACTGGGCATACCATATCCCCAGAAATCCGCGTGGATTTTACACGAAGCCGGATTACTATTCATAGGAATTCGTCACTTAATTTTAATCGATAAACACTTTTTTACTTTGTTCAATCTTTCACTGCCCTCAACTGGAAATGTCATAGCACGAATCCTTTTTAAGGAGTGGTCAATCAAAGGGCTGCTGTGAGATAAAAATAAAAGAAATTTAGACGTTATTGATTGGGTTCGAACACATCACCTCGAGGGCGATAGGTATTCAGGTTAACCATTCTTCGGTTGTTCACGTAGCTAAACAGAATAATGTACTTTCATCAAATACAACCCAAGTGTTCAACCTTGGGCACAGGCGGTGGTGGTGCTTAAGTGACCAACGTCACTGTTACCGGCATGCTTTGAGCCCTAGGGACCCTCGAGTCAAAACCCTGCCAACGCTAGCCACATATGGTGGTAGGCACTTGGAATCAGGCTGGCGGTATCCACGACTGAACGCAGGTTTTCGTGACTATGGGGTTTACTTCAAACAACGGTGAGTAACGGGAAAAAAGAAATCCGTCCCGACCGTCTTAAAATATTGTCTACCGTAAACTTTCTCATCCGATCACGAGTGAGACCAGCCCTTCCAAAGGGCTCAAACTTAACTGTCGTCAATCAAGTGGAACTGTTAGTGACCTCGCTATGTGGAAGAGGCACATGTATACCATGATCAACTAAACACATCATGTGGAGAAATACAAACTAGTAAAACAAACCTCCTACATTTGCAAACTAGGTTACAATAGAATACCTAGGCAGTTCAGAGACAGAATAGAACAAATAACGATCACCGGTGGGGGTGGAGGAACTGGTGTAAGGCACACTGGCAAAGCTGTTGTCGGACGAAAGGAGTGGAACAAGACCGGAGCAGAACCGAGGTGATCATAGGCCGATATAGGACTGCTGTTCAATGCAGTCATTTCAGCGGGACTCTCCGATGTCGATCGCAGCTATACTGTAAAAAAGGCTGTCAATTTATTGAGAATGCGGACGGACGAGCACTATACGCGGAAAGAAAGCTTCATTGTTTGTTTGTCTGTGAGGACAATGCCAGTCAACACTTGAAAATTATGCAATATTGCAAAGTTTTAAATACACTGTAAACACATACATGAGGCCATTACAAGCTAACGGATCTTCGAGATAGCTTCGGAGGAATCGGACTTGGTGACCGGTTCAGTGGAGAGGCTAATATCTGGGGCAATGTTATATGAAATGCGCAGGGGAAAAGGACCTCCGTACAATGTTTTTGTTTCCTCAAATGTGCACATAACGTTTGCACAACCATAACGCAACAGGACAGTACAACGGTTTATTGTGAGTTACTTCGAATACTTTCCGGAACCCTGTGACGGCTTTGTCAGTGGCTGTATCTATTACCGTGTTCAAACGGTACTTCTCCTATCGATCCATTCCTTCGCTTCGTATTTTTATCGGTTTGTATACGAATAACAAAAGCCATCAACTACCCTCACATTTCGTTTATTCCTGATAGACAAGTCAGTCGTACTTCGCTCCATTGCGAAAAGAAGCGCTTATAGCACCGACATACGTTATTTGTAATGAACGTCCCCATTGAGATCGATAATCAGCTGGCTGAATTTAGCTCCAGTTCCTGGGAAGTGCGCGCGCACAGGCATTGGGGGATTCATTCCGTAATGCTCTTAAGCAAGGTGTTGTGTCCCAAATTAGTAGGAACGATCAGCAAACAACGAATGAAGCAGTAAGTTCTATTGTAAGTAGCGAAACGGGGAACAAATAGGAACAGACTTGTAGGAAGGCATGCAGACCGATTCCGGCTCACACGTCGCACTACATACGAACCGGCCACATATTTACTGCTTACAATTAATTTACTGCTTAACTCGTTGTGTTCCTTTACCTACTTAATCTGGAACACAACACAGGGCTTATCCGACTACCTGGTATTTGCGTCAGATTACCCTTTGCCAGTTTATTTTACCTGAGTTGCTTCCCCACTGATGGTTGTTCGGTCGTATCTGTTCCGCGATATCTGACTGACTGGTCAAGATTGTCATGGCGGTATATGATCTATTTTGCAATGATGTCCGCTCATCAGGTATGAATATCCCGGTATCCTCCAATGCGGTTCCCAAATCTACAACTTATTCACTAATTTCTATTTTGCTGCGCGGGACATACTTTCGCCGATAAACTTTTCTCCAGCGGTTTATGTTTGAATCCACATTTGTAGAGAACAGACACAACCGCAACTAGAATCCACAACCAGCTAAAGTTTAAGCCGTTAGGTGATCTGACGATGTGAAACCCTAGTCCATGTAGAGTCAGTGTTTAATCAACCGGTTGGGACGTGGCAAGTACCCGAGACACTTCATACAATCGACCCATCCTCTAGCAGAAGACTGAAGCCAAGCTAGTAAGCTATCGGGAGGGATTCACGGTGTTCAATTCACCAAACCGCCCAACCGAGCCGGTTACCATCGCGATCAGGACGTTCTGGAAAATGTTCGCATGTCATTTAGGGAGGTTCGGAATCTGGGTTTTACAGCTCTCACAGATGAGCTAGCGACTCGTGATTCACGAACCTAACTATAGCCCTGGGTATTAGCTTTGCGTTTGCATTCCTGGGAGCGAGAGTGAAGGCTCGCTCGGCCTCGGAAATAACGGGGTATTTCAGACCTCGGTAATCAAGAGCACTTTACTTCCGCCGCCGAATTACTGTTTGATGAAAAGAATTGTGAGAAAAATTCCCTCCAAGCATTTACTTATAGTTTGTATTTGTATTTGTATAGACTTTTGCGAGGACAGAATGTTCGCATTTCAGTCAAACATTTACACATCTCATCAATAGAAGGAAAGATACAAGTAAAATATTTAGCCTTTAAGGTTACTGAGAAATTCGGAGGAAGCGCGCTCTCGGTTTACAAGGATTCTGGAAAGATAGGGAACTGGGGAATTTTTGTAGACCAATGCGAGAGGGTAATAATCGATAAGAAGAACGTGTCGACGTATGAGAGCATTTAGATAAATCACCATGTAAAGGATGGTTGGGGTCAGCGAGGATTTTCTGGGCAAATGTTTCACATGCGGACAAGTGAAGTTCACTCCAAAGAAGCAATTCTCGAGCGTTATGCTCACGTACCAGATAAGAACGAATACCTTTGATACCATGACCCTGTTCCGCGACTTTTCCTATCACTAATAATGTACGTGAATCTCGTGAACGGAACGGTTCGCGAACCGCAGAACCTAGCCCCTGGTACTTAAACCGTCAAAGCACAATCGCACAGACCTGATATTTACTCGAGAGACAACGATGCCGTTTGCGACAAAAGCTAGGTTACAGGCTATTCAGCCTCGAAATTCCTTAACAATACTGCTCAATGGTTCGTATTATCACAGTATTGACTCTTGAATTCACAAGGTTTGCCCATCACCGGTGACAAAAATGAAACTGTTCCGCGTAGGGAACTGCATAAACGGATAGAGGACGCAGTGGCACGATGACCCCTAATAATGTCCATAATCGCGTCCGCCAAGAGTTGCAATAGCCGAAAAGTTGACAATCTTGTCTGTTTCACTTTCAGACTGGTGTTTCAATGGGACGGGGATTGCCATTATTAGTCTTGCACAAATAGATGATAAATACGCGTGAAAGCTCACAATCGGAAAGTGAGAACAATAGAACTATCTAGCATGAACAGAGGAAGGCCAGTTAATCAGCAAACCCAATGTTTGGCAAAGGAAAGCGAAAACGGAGTAGTAAAAGCAGCAACATGTTTTTATTGGTATTCCGGGTTCCACAATTTTCCAGGCTAGTGTACAAAAGTCAGATAAATGATGCGGCTATAGTTAATTACAGATACTAATCAACGGGATAGATCGTGCGTTTGTGACAAGCAAATGCGGAAATGACTGATCAATGCTTCTTTCTCAAAACCTCGAGACCAGCGTCGAAGTGAGGGTCAGCAACATTCAACAGAAGTGATCCAGCGCTCACATAGGCTTTATTTTGCGATTGTGCAATCTGAGTGGGAAGAAGAAAAGAGATGGATTTTAATTTACGAAGTAGATTTGCATGGTGAGTAAAAGCCCTCAGTTGCGCAAACAGACAAGATGGCAATTAACCTTTCCCGGATCAATATACTGCATGACTGTACTTTCAAGTTTAAAAGGAGTGTACATACTGAAGACACGACAGATATATGTATGAATATACTTACGGTACGAGCAATTTGCGTGGCTGCTTTGATTTTTCGCAGTTTTAGATATCCCGGATTAGCTGCAAGTGCATCTCCTATTAGTTTGGCTGCTTGCGCTTCTCCGTCAGCGGTGACGATTTTCTGCTGCCGTTCTTGCTTCGCCCGTTCGACGAGGAACTGAGCGCGTTGTGCTTCTTGGAGCGCAATCTGAAGAAAAGAAATTGGTCGACGGTGAATACCTGGGAGCAGCTTTTGAAGGAAGAACTAACGCAGTGTTGTATAATGATGAGCAATGGTAAGCAGGACAAGGATTCCTTTTACTTGGGCAGGCAAATGAAATTATTTGGCAAAAGAACTACAATAACTACTGCTATATGGATTAGACTCTTATGTCTAAGTCTCGATGTGTTTCCTAAGGTTAACCCGTCCGGTTTTGAGTGACCGAATCCGCAAAACTGCCATAGCTACAGAAACGGCCGCAAATTTAACAAAACCATCGACTTTCATTCGCTTCAAACTCTACCGAGTGTAGTGATCGATGCTGCCCGTCTATGAAAATCGCCAATGTGAGTAGGCATGGATACTACTAACCGCATTGCCGTTCTTTGTCATGCAAGCAGCTAATACGGAGAGCAGGGAAACTTGCCTGTTTCGCCTCGACAGCAGCCGAGTAAACCTGAGAGAATGTTAGATCAGTGATTGAAACATCATCCACGACAATGTGAAAATCGCGAGCACGTTCCACAAGTTGCTTTCGGATCAATAAAGACACTTGTTGACGCTGCGTAATCAACTGACTCGCATTGAATTTGGCAACGACGGCCTTGAGTACTTCATTGGCGATCGAAGGTAAAACACGTTCATCATAATCCGGACCTAAAGTGCGGTAAATCTTCGGTAGGTTGGCAACCTCTGGCCGAGAGAGAACGCGCAACGTAAGGTTGACCGTTTGCAAATCTAGGGGGAATACACGGGAAAAATGCGACTGGGGTCATCAGTTGTTGTGAAATCAACAATAAATACATGGAACGAGATAAAATGACGGGCCTTAACTGAGCGATGTATTTTCAAGGAGGGGTGACTTGTACGTCTTAAGGATACAGAGTATGGCTTATCCGTACGGTGTGAAAAAACATGAGCACATTTAGCGGGGTCGAAAGACTTCATGTGCAAAAGCAGACTGGGTCAACACGATACCGAGCTAACTATCAGAAAGGATAGAATGCTTAAAGTATGTTTACCTTAAATCAACATTTTCCATCTGCTTAATGCGTTTTATTGTCAATTTTATTTAGTACGACTGCATACATGCAAAACGCATTCAACTCACTAAATCCTATTCAATATCGCAAACCCCTACGCCACATAATAGTT